CATTTAATTAGTTCACAGTAATAGTAAAAACGATTAATTTTGCAAAATATGTTATTGTTTTTTATCTTGTTAATACATTAGTTGACTTCGAATATTCGAAACTTCGAAACTTCGAATCTTCGAAAAATTCAAAAACTTCAATTCTCGAATAATTTCTACGAAGCTTCGAAATTGAAAATCTTCGAAGAAAAATTTCAGCTGTACTATATACTCGTATGTATATCCGATTAAAAAATATGATCGGTTTTGCGATAAAAGTTTATCGGATAAATTTCATCTGGTGTATCCATAATTTAATCGGAAAAATTAACCATCGGAAACACTATTTATCCGGTGGAAATTTTTCTCCGTGTCATGAGAAATTCACGCACGATCCTAGTCTCTCACGCGACAGCGCAAGATAAAATCAGCGTTTGTTTTTTTCAATCGAGCGCGGATTCTGAAATCTAAAACAAAAATTGACAGCTATCAAATTTCAATTGTGTTTTCTGTGTAAATAAAACTGTCAAAAAATACGCACTGCCTATACGTGTAAAATTAAAAATGAATATTTTGTTGCAAAGGTGTTGGAATATTATTCGCGACAAATACCGATATCCGATGAACTGGCTTTAAAATCGGCTTATTTCTTCGTACAAGCAAAGTGCGAAACTTGACAAGGAGTTGAGAAGGAAATTACAAGATTAAAGCATGAGAAAAGTGCTTCGCTGCGTCAAATAGAAATAAATAACAAAGTCAATTAACGAGCGGCAATATTTTTAAAATACAAGGGAGCCTTACGTTGCGTGATGTCTATTCTGAAATTTCATTTCCTCTTTTCTGCGTCAATGAAGCCACACAAGCGGCGTGGTTGACGACAGACATTTCAATTTATTTCTCCGTATTACGCGCTGCTACCGAATATTATTTCGAGGTCGCGGCGTGCACCGTCCATTTATTCATTAAACAGAAAATTAAAAAAATGACCGCGCTATAAAAGTAATTATGTGAGCGAAAAATTTGTAAAAAACGCATCGTGCGTACAATTAACCTACATGACGAGGCAGGGGTGAGCTGCACGTTTGCCCGACAAGGGTAAAACTCCGCAAATGGAGAGAATAATTTCTCCCGTTGTTCCCGGGGAAGAAAAACGACGACAAAGGAATCATAAATGTAGGGAGGAGATGCGGAATCGTTTGATGGAGAGCGGGAAGCCCCGCGTACACTTTCCGTATCGCGAGCCGAGACCGTGTATCGAAATAATGCAATTGTTGCAGCGCCAGTGCTCTTACGGCGACGGTATGGCATGCAGCTGATGGTTTCATCTTAAAATGGTCCGTATCTGGATCGATTTAACGTGCCATCGGAATGGCGTATTATTAGATTTCAATTTCTGCAATATCTCTCGGACGTAGACGGGGTCGGCCAAATAAGTTCCACGGTCTGCAGAGATAATGAACTTCGGTCTCAAAGGGACGAGCAGAAAAAAAAATAAAAGACGAGTTACGAGATACGGGCCGGTCAGTCAGAACTTATGTTCAAGACCGTCTTCAATTTGTCTAAAGATGCTGTGTGGAATATTTCATTGGCTACGAACTATCTAAAGATGATCTTAAGATCTTAAATATAAGATCTGACTATGAATACCGCCCATAGATTACAGTTTCTCTCTTTTGAATTTGTCGAAAATTGTATAGTGCACCTACGTCCGTTCGATCATCATGACGCGCGTTTCCTTTTTCGTTCGCAAAGAATTA